TTCCGCGTACAAATACCTGTAACACAAATTTTGTCGGCACATTTGTTTTGCCGCGGATTCCGCCACAAGTGAGTATATCTAGTTGTTCTGAATTCCGCAACTGTAAGTGGATTTCACAAAAAAAAAGTAGAACCCGCAAATGTAAGTGGAATCCGCAAAACTTGTAAGCGGAATCCGCAATTGTCAGCGTATTCCGCATACTGTAAGTGAATTCAGAATTTTGTCTATTACTGAACTTGCACATGAACAATTGAAAGCTAGAGCTGGAGTTCTTATCTATAGCAATGCGGAATTTAAAGGCAAGGTCTTAACCATTGTCAGCAGAATCCACGAACAAATCTCAAAACATTTGTTAACAAAATTGGTGGATGTCAGCTTTTACTATTTCGGAAACACAACACCCAATAAGTTCGATTTTTGCAGTCATTGGGTTGAGGGTGTATGGAAAGACAACACTCAGCATATTGCCAAATTAGGTCAGTATTTGGGATTGCGTCAATCCCAAATACTGATTTTGGAAGCACAACGCCGAATAAATTCAATGTTTGTAGTCATTGGGTTGAGATTGTATGGAAATGCAACACACAGCATATCGCCAATTTAAGTCAGTAATTGGGAGTGCGTCAATTCCAAGTACTGATTTTGGAAGCTTAACGTCGAATAAATTCTATATTTGTAGTCATTGGGTTGAGATTGTATGGAAACACAACACACAGCATATCGCCAATTTGAGCCAGCATTTGGGATTGCATCAATCCCAAATACTGATTTTGGAAGCTTAACGCCGAATAAATTGAATATTTGTAGTCCATGGCTTGAGAGTGTTTAGAAACACAACGCACAGCATATCGCCGAATTAGGTCAGTATTTGAATTGCATCAGTATTTGGGATCAAGTTCAGATCGAATTAGGTCAGTAGTTGGGATCGGTATGTCAGTATTTGGGATCGAAGTTCAGTAGGTCAGTATTTGGGATCGAACTTGAGATCGAAGTTGACATGATTTGAGATCGAAGTTGGGTTGACAGGAACTGAGACCAAACGTTTCAACTGGTAATTGATCAATGTAGTAAAAATAATTGAGATTGATTTTTTCTGTTGACCAGTAATTGAAAGATATAATTTTAAACGCTATACTACACATATACATATATGTAAATGGAATCCGCAAACAAAATGCGGATTCCACTTACAAGTTGCGGAATCCGCAACAGCTCAATTTAATTATACAAATGTCTTATTATTTGGTTGTGGATTCCACAAACTGTTCTGAATTCCGCAAGTACGGTTGCGGATTCCGCAAAATGGCCTAGTTTCGGATCGATTTTGAGCGATACAGTTTTTTAAGTTTTTGTTTATGGAATCCAAAATAGCGAGGAAGATCAAAGAAAAGTAGCAAAAAATTTGTTTTTGAACTGTTGCGGAATCCGCTTACGAACCACAGAATGCACAGTTTGACCTCGTAATAAAAGAGATGAAAAAAATATCTCGTTTTTCCTTTTCATGCGTTTTGATCTATGTATCATACAAACTTCGAAAATAGTGCAATCTGTTGAAATGGAATTTCCACTGTATTACATGCTATAGTAACTTGAGCGTAAGATTGATTCGTCGCTAAGTTAAATAATACATCAAACAAAGGGTCCAGTTCAAAATAGTTCATTCTTCGAAGATATCATCCCTCATATGCCAGAAAAAATTTTTTTTGATAAAGTCGGCTATCCCCCCAAAAAAATTGAAACTAAGGATGCTAATCTTATGAAAATCAGAAGAGCGACACTAGCGATGATTTGACCCGGGCTTACGAAAAACGGGACCTCTCAGATTCTTGGGGGGCAAGTGATAACGGTCCCCGGAAGTGCAAATTACCCTATCAGAATTCGGCAACTAGCGTTGGTAATTTCTTAAACGTTATTATGTTGTAGGCCTTGTTGAGGGAAGATTAAGTTTGGATTCCCAGACCCCTAGGACCCTCACTTCCAGTTTTGTGCTCTAATTAAACAAACCTACCCCTAATTTTTGGAAAGAGCTTTTCGGCCTCCAATGAAAGCAGGGAGCTGAAACTTGAAGGGATGATAGGATAGGTAGTGGCAAGATTCATCTTGTGCTATAATTTGAACCATTTGCAACTGATGCATCGGAAGCTATTAGCACTTGAAAGAACACCCCCTTAGACCGGAAATGGGCAACTTACGGAAAATATTGGACTGTGGGATGATGATGTTATTGCGGCATTCGACATAAATTGAACCACCAAAAAAACTATGTGAGTGAAAACCCTCAGGCGACTCCTTTTAGCGTTGTTAGCCTTTTTCCCGGAATGGGATAAATTTTGAAATGGGATAAATTAGAAAGTCTTAATGGGACATGGATAAAAATTGGTAGGTTGGAACCCCATGGGGTTTTCAACCGAAATACGAAAGCTTGACCCCAGTTGACCCCTGGGTGAACTGAAGTTGACCTACTCGTTTGAACCCAAAAAAGTAGAGAAAACTCCAAGATTAACTCCGGAAACTGGAGTATTCTCCGGCCCAGCCCCTCGAGACATGAACCGGTCACCTTGCTAAAAATTGTGAGGAAACTTGCATATTGAGAACTAGAGCAGAAGATGATATCAATATATCTTTTACATTGCAACCCTAAAGTAGTAGAGCTAATTCAGAGTGACTTGGTGTTTTTTGAGTTCAGTTTAGCTTAGTAAATTATATATTAAAAGCAATTCAACTAGACTAAAAAATATTGTCCCAGAGGAAATTGATAGTAATAGGACCGCATTATGAGAATTCAATCTCCTAAATAGTATGAATGGCCGGGGAGGTTACTTGACTTTTTAGAGAAGACTTTTGGTTTTTTTGGCCCTTATGGACGAACTACGTTTCCCTGATAGCTAGGTCAGGATTGAATAGAACATTTAGCTGCATGAAAAGTACAGATAGAAAATTTAGATGCATGAAACGAATTAGCTTTTCATGGAAAAGGTCTTTTCCTACCCTTGCGAGGTCGGAACGTTAACGGGATAACTAAAATCTAAAACTTGGGAGGGTCACTGAGTAAAAATAGCATGGTTTTGAGGTTGAGATGAACTCGAGGGCTGAAGTCACTGAGATCAGGAATTAGTTGATTAGAATCGCATGACAGTTGTTTGGTGGCTAAAATTGTTACACCTACCGCATACCGGGTATCTAATAAGCGTGAAAGGATTGATTAAAAAAAAAACAAATTTGGCGCCTGACAGAGTTGACAAGGGGAGAGATATAGTCATAAAACATGTAAGGACGGGTAATTTAAGCGGATGTTATGACTTATAGGGATTGGCGTGACTTAACTAAAACTAAGTGTAAATAAAGATAAGGAACTGGAGGGTACTTGCATTTTGTAAGGTGAGCTCTTGCAAGTAAGTCATAGCTTAAAGGGCGCTGAACATATGCGCTCATGGCAATCTAAATAATTAACCTCCGAGTTAGGCCTCCGGACTGGTTGACTAAAAAATATTTCAAAATAAAACTAAAATTGAGACACTCATACTAGTTTATAAGCGATTATATTGACAGCATTTAAAATCAAATAACTATATTGTAATTTGTTTTTTTTTCGTAACTGAGAAGCAGGATATCCTTGGAGGAGCCCAAACATGTTTTAAAGCGAAAATGAAAATTGTTAACCAGTTGAACCAACGAATTTGAAATAATAAATTGAGTGGTTATTTATGTTTTACTGGTTCCTTGATTGGAGATTTGGATAAAAAGGGCTAGTTAAAAAATATTCAAACAACAATATTGTACGGCAATCCACATTAATTTAGTTTCAATTACAGAACAATTCTAGAATTGGTTTGATACAAGATATCAAATTTAAATAACTCCGCGATTTAGCGCACAACTCCGAAAATGTTTTTCCAAAACTAAATTTAGATTCTGATTTGACAAAATCTTAAACTGCTAATGCAAATGATTAGAGCACAAAAAAAATGCTGTTTTGTGAAAAAGCTTTTTTTATCTTTATTGTATTTCGTGAAATATTCAGTGCTGACAGAATTTGAAACGGTAAATGCATTTTCTACACTTAATTTGAATTTATACAAGAACCGATAAGATCAAAATTGCCTAGACTTGCACCAGATCTATTTTGAGGTCTTTTATTTTGCATATTCGGAACACATATTGCATATATTCACCCCAAAGATGGGGTCGTATTCGGTTTGAGGAGTTAGATCACAAACTATGCAAAAACTGCTGCATCAATCTTTTCCAAGTTCACCCTTGCACTCCACCAAAAAAATATATTTCAGTGTTTTCGTGTTGATGTTTTCTTTACTGTAGCAACCGAAATTTGTCCACTTAACAGCATCAATTGACCATTTTGTGATATAAATTTTTCAAAGGCAATTAAAAAAACTCCATCTCAATTTTCAAATTTTGATGGATTCTGTATGACCTTATAAATGACGCACATTTTTTGGCAGATTTTGATCTTTAAAATACGAATATGAAAATTTCTGACCCATTTTCTGACCCATACTTTACTAAACTCATATCTTAAGTATCTTAAGTGCTAAGAAAAATAGTTGAAAGAGTAAAGTCATAACCGTATCTTCTTAACGAAATAGCGCATATCTTTAGTTTTCTTCCGTGACCTCCTTGAAGTACTTTTTTGATACAAGATTTCAAGCAGTCTCAGCGACTGTTTCATAAAAAAAGCAGAATGATCTTAGTTTATTTTTCACAATATATTTTTTCGCTAGATAAAATAAGAGAAACAGACAGGCTGGATAGCTTTTCAAAAATCCTCTGCGAATCGCAGAAACTATGATTTTTTATCGATATTTTTCATCAAGTAAATGTAAGTAAGTAGACAAATGAATTTTTTTTCCTATTGTTGATAAATCATAAACAAGATATTAAAGAAGAATATATACATTTTAATTCTCTTACTGGTGGTTTTTTCAGTTAAATTTATCACACCACTATATGAAGATCAATTTGAAGAAAAAACAAATGGACATTACATTTTAATTATGAATAATTTGGAGGACCATAAATCCAAAAATCTATCCAGTCTGTAAAAAGGCCGACTCTCACAAAATAACTCCCATTGTTACATGAGTCAGATGGCGTATCAACATTACTTGTAAAGTAGCTAGATACGCCATATAAACATTCAGGCTCGAAAGTTCCGTACTTGAATTTATAAAAGGGTCCACCATTGTCCATGAAACATATACTCGCTTGTTGCATAACAGGAATTGTACACACAATATCGAAACGACAAAGCTCAGTAGAGTTTTTAGTTTCGAAAACAGTGGTGTGGAAAAATGCTTCCTGTAATTTAATAGGAACTAAATGCACATCCTTTGTTGTGACAATTGACCCCATTCCAGCAGCTCCGTAAAGGTCACAGGGATAAAGGAGGTCTCTGTTGCCCTCAGCACATATCGGAAGCTTCCGTCGTCTTATTCCTCGAATCTTCCGCCCGGTTTTCAGAAGGGCCAAGTTCATTAAGAATTGGTCGCCTAGACTAAACTTGAAACCAATCAATATATTATTTAATTCAATTTTAATTTAACCTTTTATCCACGGCCAGAGAAAGTGTACATCTTTAGGGAGGTCAAAATTTGTGATCGGACCTTGATTGATCTCTACGCTGATAAACTATTTTCAATTGTTTTGCCATTTTCTGGGCAGCTGGAATTGCCTTGCTTTCGAGCAGTAAGAAACAAATTGAATCTTTCTGACAAAATTAGACTTAGCTTGAATTGGACGTTTTCGAATCAACGATGTGAAGGAAAAAAATCTAGAAATATACAGAATTTCAATTTTTGTTTGCTCATACACAAAGGTTTTGTTTTTTTCTTCAGAATCACAAAACAAACGAGCACCAATTTTCAGTTGCTCCGAATTTTTTTTCAATAGAGAGATGTTTTGAAAAACACTTACACAGGAGATAAGAATGTTTTTGCTATCGAGTAGATCGACTTCTGTGAATTAGTCTGGGAGAAATCTCTAATTTCCAAGGCCATGCTCTCCGCTAAAATTCGATGCATTTAATTTTTTCCAAAAGTGGCTTCGAACACTTTTAATGAGAAAGATAAGCAAAAAACTGTTCCTGAATTTTTCTTCTATTCAATACAGGGGCGGATCTAGGATTTTCTCGAGGGGGGGAGGGGGGGGGGATCGGATTTTCAAAAAAATTTTGACGATTTTTTTAGGTCGACCAAATTGATTTTTCGAGCTCCCCCAGAGCACTGTTTTGCCGTTATTTTGGCTAAGCTTTCTGCGCCGCAGGCAAATTTTTGAAAAAACAGTCAAAAAAGCCGTTTTTGGGCACTTTTTGAACAGTTTTCACAAAAAAATCGCGGTTTTTTGGCGCGCGCTCCCCCTAAAAGTTAGTATATATTGGCGCCAAAGGCGCCTTTAGAAAAATTTAGGGTCGGTCGGCCAAAAATGGATTTCTGAAAAAGTATCAAAGGGGGGACCCTTTGGGTCGGCAGGGGGTCGAATCCCTGAAGAAAAGGCGTCCGCCACCACCAAACCCCCCCCCCAAATCTGCCCCTGATTCAATATACCAAAAGCGAAAAAGTCTGAACTAGATGTCTAAAACTAAATTGGAAAAATGTATCAACATCGAAGATTGAATCTCCACTTGCCTCTTGATCATGTTATTTTGACCAATTCCCCTGTAGTAGATCATCAAAATTCGGATGATAAAAAAACAACTCCCCTAAAAATTGATGCTCAAAAGATCAATACTTGTCTGATGAAACACAAAGCACACCTAGCAGGGGGCGGATTTAGGGAGAGAGGGGGGAGCGGGGGGTGGGGGGGGGGGGGTTGGACGCCTTTTCCTCAGGGATTCGACCCCCTGCCAAACCAAAGGGTCTCCCCTTCGTAATATTTTGTGATAACCATTTTTGGTGACGGACCTTAAATTTTTCTAAAGGCGCCATTTATATTAATTTTAAGGGGTGAGCGCGCACCCAAAAATGCGATTTTTTGGTCAAAATTTTCCGAAAAGTGCCAATAAAAGTCTTTTTGGCCTGTTTTTTCCAAATTTTGCCTGCATCGCAGAAATTTTGGCCAAAACGGAGTCTATGTAGTACTTTGGGAGATCTCGGCAAATCAATTTGGTCAACCTAAAAAAAATTCGACCAAATTTTTGGCTAAGAAAATGGATAAAGTAACCAAAAAAAAATCAAAAAGTTTTTTTTCATCAAATCTTACGACGCAAAAATAAGTAAAATGGGACAAGTAAAGGTTAAGGCTCTTTTTCCCCCTTACCTGCAAATTTTTATATGTAAATTTGTTGATCACAATGTCCGATTTATATAAAATTTACATACAGACTAACGACAAACATATTTGGTCTTCATACTCAACCTCGTAAAACCACTCTTTACGCTAATATATTGAAGCCCCATGTGAGGTGGGGGAAAAGGAAAAAGAGCCCAGGTTACATATTATAGTGATGAAGTTGCTTGCCTCAATTCAACTTGCTGTGATAATCTTCTTTACTCAAAATTTTGTCAGAAAAAAACCCACACCGAACAATTAAGCGATTTAGAGTTACATAGTTTGCCAAATATTTGTCTATAATTTTGTAAACCAACCAGAATTCACTTGTGAAACATTAGAAGGTAGCATAATTACCCGGTAAATTAGCGGTATTTTCCTCAATCAAACACACTATAATGATTTTCTGTTTTTTTTATGATAATACTGTTAATTGTATAGAAACGTTTTTGCTTGAAACCTTCCAATAAATGCCTAAAAAGGTCATTTTTACATCTTTTTCCCAAATTTTTGTCTGCTGCGAGTTTGTTGTGTAAATTGAGAGAAAAATTATTTGGTCAATCTAACAAAAAGTCACCTAAAAAAGTTCCAAAAATCGAAGAGCTATGAATGGAAAATTCGCAAGTAGTAGAAATTTTTTAGAAACTCCGAGTTTTTTGTGGCTACCTCGAGAGCAATATAATGATTTTTTACGAGTAACGAAAAAAACTCAAAAGGGCTACAAGACGTCTGGGTGATTTTAAGTTTTTGAATACTCGAATCCTCTGAACAGGAGCGGATCTAGATTTTTCTCGATGGTGGGTGTAGGTTTCAAAAAAAAATTGTCAAAAATTTGTCGACGTTGAGCGAAATTACAATAAGATCAAATGTTTCTGCTCCAGAGACATTTTTTGAAAAAACACTCCAAGATAGGCGTATTTAAGCACTTTTTTGAAAACGCTGACCTAAAGCTTATGAAATGTTGGCGGCTTTTAGTCCTAAATTAGTACCAAAGGAGAGGGACGCTTTGGGTGGGTGGGGGAGATGGGGGGTTTGGTTGAATCCGTGAAGACCCCCTCCCCTAAATCCACTCCTGTCTCCCAGATTTGTTTTGTCAAAATTTTCTATTCACCTCAAAACAGGCCATAAAAAGTGTTATTTTTTCCGATCACTCTATGGGCAAAAAATTGCCGCAAAAGTTGATAAGGAATTTTGTTGAGAAAAACATGACTCACCACTGTGATTTCCTACACAGAACGCAGTAGTCAGTGCAAACTGCTCGTGAATTATTGTAGCCCCACAAAACGGAACATAATCTCTGAATGCCAACCTAGCGTAGAATAATCTTGGGGATGTTTCCAATCCATTGACGATAAGTGACTGTGACTTTTTCTTGGCGATGGAGTTGATACTTTCTCCGTTATTTTGGGATGCTGAAATTGATTTTCGATCTTCGGAATTGACGGCGGAATGAATTAGGAAAACGCAGGACAAATATAAAACGTGGGTGAGGCAAAACAGGCTCATGTTTTTTTTTAAACAGTGAAAAGAAATATACTTTATCTCATGGAGTGCATAAAGGGTTTCGAAAAAGTATAGTATACGAAGGTAAAATAAGATTACATTTTAGATCATGAAAATTTTGTTGAAATAAATATGAAGGAAATAGAAAACTGAAGTTTCGTCTGAAACGTTAGACTTGGCAACTATTTGATGATAACTTTGGATAGCTTACCAAAAATGGCTTCAAATGTGAACAAAATAATAAAATTACAGCTTAAAAACTGAATATTTTCCATCGAGGCCATTTAGCGAATACAAATAAATAATCTGATCTTGATCTTCGCAAGATTATCTTTTGTTTGTGAATAACAGTTGATTGAACTCGAATACATCATATCAAGCTGAAAAGTGTTTAATTTTCAAAGATGATTGAGAAATAAACAATTTCGTGTTTACGTCTGCTTCACATTTTGAAAACAAAGACCATTATAAAATAATCGGCAAAGAGAGAAAACTGATATTTATCGCTAGAAGTGACTTGCAAACGGCAGTACAAAGCCAAGCTCGGGTACTCTGGTAGTGGTTTGAATTCCGCATGCATTGTCCTTGGAATCAGCTCAAATTGCGTTGGATTTCGCAACATTTCGAAAAGCCTTTGAAGTCGGAAACTTGATTGAATCGATGAACAATTGTTTCAACAGTAGTTGCTAAAAATTAAATTTTGAACCTGTGACAATGCTGATTTTGTAGAAAAGTGCTAAGTTATGCTTTGTTTAGGATTCCACAGACAAATGCATGTTTACGCTTGAAGTGAATTGAAGCAAAATTTCAATGTATTACAATGTTTGTCAGTGGATTCCGCAACCAATTTGTTCTTTTTGTCACTGCATTCCACAATTTGTCAGTGGATTCCGCAGTCAATCTTACTTTTTGTCAATGGATTCCACAAACACATTCATGTTTGTTTCATCATATATTGTTTGGTCTAATTTTCTGCGCTTGTAAATGTTGCCTCACCCTCAACCAACGAGCACAGGACATGTTGGGCTTCAAATATCCGACTTTTTCATTGAGATGTGGAGAAGTAACCACGTTGCCACCGCTCCCCTCAACAGTCGCAACGTGAAATCTTGTAAAATTCACCAGTCACTTTTTTTTCGAAAGTTTGAGCAATACTATTCCTCCAACAATGATCCGCAATTTTACTACAGAGAACGAACTGTTTCGGCTTATTTAGTGGTCAATTTAATGGTCGAGAGGGGAATACTGCGCGTAATTCAGAGAACCCTGCGTACAAAAGATCGGTAAAACAACATGTTGGGAGATTCACTTCATACCTGCGCTGCAAGTTAACCTAAAAACTTAAAAACTCAGACTCGAAATATTTACTTCAACATTAACAAGAGTTTTTTGAAATCCGAATCACGCTTGATAATGGTTCATTTTTGTACCATGCAAACTTTAATTCAAGCAAATATTTATTAGATTAACTGAAATCAGGCGAAAAAATTTGTGGGATGAAAGCAAAGCTTGCACGAATGAATCATGAAATAAGCAAAAACCTTGTATGCTCGAGTTATACCAAGTCTTTCAATGTATTGAGAAATGCTACAAGAAGGTGGAACAGTCAAAATAAAATATAAAAAGCAAATGACCTACTTTGGTCATTTTCTACAAAAATTTTTTGTTTTTCAGACAGAAAGTATACCTCAAGGTCACCTAAAAATTATCAAATTGCATGCAAAAGATGCTCAAAGTTGGCAGAAAGCTCTTTTTAATTCCATCTGTCCGCTCTTTTTGCAATTCTCTATATTAGGTTGCAAACAAAAACATTTAAAAAATTAAAATAGAAATCTGGCAACTTGGAGCAGTTTTGGCATGCAAATTAAATTTTGTTAGCTGACATGGGGACATACTGTTTGTCTGAAAAATTAGCTTTGCTTATAACAATGGTCTGGAATAGGTTATTTGCTCTTACCAAAAAACTTTGTCTGTTCCATTTTTTCGCAGCTCTCTATAATTACTAGAAAAACTTTCGGACCGAAAAATTTAACTAAAAAGAGCAAAAGACCTATTTCAGACAGAAGTTGCATGCAAATTCTAGTTTATCAGACAGAAAGTTTGCATCAATTTCATATTTGCAAGCTGAAATTGCTCAAAAGTGGCTGAATGCTTGCTTAAATCATTTCTGCCTGTCCGAAATTTTGCAATTCTCTATTTATCTTTACACAAAATTATCGAACATTTCGACATTAAAAGATGAAACTTGAAAGAAAAATTGTTTGAAATTTTCCGTTTGACTTTGTCGCTTTTTATGTCATTTCATCTAATGAAAACTTGCGTGTCAGATAGCTGTCTAGTGAAAACAATTTTGAAGCTAAAGGCTTGAATTTATTTTAAAAAACTGACCTCTGAAAAAGCGCAACCATTTTGGTTCCCTCTTTTGACGTTTCAATTGCGACTTTGAGAATTCGATAGTAACTTCAACAATATTTCACTATCACAAGGTCAGAATAATTTCAGAAGTTTTTAGGTTCTCTCCGATAAATTTGTTGAAAGTTATACAGTGCTGATTTTAATTATCCGGATAAAGACATTGAACTTGAAACTTAAAGCGCATTTTTCTCAAATTGAGTTAACTTAAGGTTAAAAGTGATGATGACAAAACATGCTTGGAATTTCAACAGAGATAATGTGATGCAGTTTGTTTTGCGACATTAATGTGGGTTCTTGATATTAAAGTGAGACTCTAAGGTACGTAGCCGAACAATCTTTACAAGGGTATTTTCTTCAAAAAATTGGTGCAAAACGTTTAAAAATCAACTTTAAATAAAAAAAATTGTTTTCTATAAAGTAAAAACGACTGTTTTGTCTGCCGAATAAAAACAACTGAATTTTATTAATTTTTTTTGGAGATTATAAGTTTTATCTTCATCATTTTTTGTTTAACGTCAGCGCAATTTGTGACAAACGCGTTTTAAGTTTCAAGTTATATGAGTTGTTTCCAGATATTTAAAATCAGCATTTGTATTCACTTAGTTAAATCATGGTAAAAAGTATGATCTCATTCTTGCTCAAATTATTTCATTGAAACTGATTCATAGGTTGTGTGGAAAAGATATTCGAAAGAGAGATCAGATCGGTTTATTACAATCTTTTCTTTCTGAGTTTTATCTTGCTACACATTATAACAAAAAAAATTACAGATGATCTTTTGAAACAAACGAGTTTTAAATTTTTAACCAGTTAATTGAGTCACCCGCTGCCTCGCTGCCCTGTCTTTTTTCCAAAATTATGGCTAATTTTACTAAGCAAACAAAACCTCAATTTTTTGACGTACTGACTAAGCACATGGTAAATGCTAGCAAATTTTGCGGCGCAACATGCCAGTTTTACCTTGGTAAAGTTAAGCTTTTTAAAGCGGACTCTGAAAGAATTCCTAGAACTTTAAATCAATGCAAAACTCACTTTCGTAGAACATGAAACCAATGCGAAACGTGAATTCGTAACCAATGCGAAACGTGAATTCGTAACCATGGCTTTCAATTTGCAGTTTTCTTGACTTAAAGATACAGAATAGTTTCAGCGAGTTTCTGTGCTCAAGTTTCAAGTTGGTCGATTATTGAGCAGTAATTCTTCCTTCTTATCTGAAAATACAGGCGGAAAAGCCCTAAAGACTGGCCTAGGCTAAGCTATTCCCAGCAAAAACTACAAAGTATATTCTGAAAACTCAAGAAAGACGTTTGCAACTCAAAACTAATTTCAAAACCAAGCCAGTGTTTCCAGTAAACTACACATTTGAGTAATTCTATTCTTCTTTAGGAAGCATTACGCAAACATTACCACCGACTAAGAACTTCGAAAGTGGTTGTTATTACAACTAGAAGTTATAAACCCTGTAGGTTACAAAAAGAAAAACGAGACACATTAGGAGTTTATTCCAGAAATAGTCAGAATTGTCAGAAGCCAATTTTAGAACTAAGGAATTGCGCGATTCAGAAAATAGGCTACGTAATTTGGAATCAGTGACGTGCAATCATTACCAGAAGCAGTCGGATAAGCGATCGGAGAGCTGAACGATTCAAATCGGGTGAGTTTCGAGGGGCATGCTTGGTTAATTTAAAATAGTTGGCTAACAGAGGAAAATTACAGAAGTACAGGTATGCATGCGATTGTTACAATTAAATTAAACAAGATAACGGTTTTTCACATTGTGAAATTTTAAAAATTCTCCTATAATTTTCTCTTGTTGACCAAATTGATTATGCGAGCTACTCTTTAAAGAGTAAAATAGTTTTTGGAAAAAAAACACTTTTTAAGGACACATTTTGATTGTCGTTAATCGCAGAGAGTCACATTTTTGCAGCGAGCTAAAAATTAGTCCGTAAGGGACGTCAAGAATTAATGAAGGGTCAAAGTTCCCAAAAAGGGAACTAACGGGATTGATCTCCCAGAAAGATAAGTTTTGCATCATATTCTGTATAATGCCGCCCTAACTCTGATTAGAGAATAAATCAAAGATAAAAATCGCAGTTCTGTAACAGTACTAAAATATTGTTTTAACAGTGCTGATTTTCTTACAAAATCAGGAAAAATTTTTTATTAAAAAAAGTTGGCCAAAAATGGTCTTCTTTAATTTCGAGCCGTTTCAAAAATTTTTTAATATCTCACATTAGATTTTAAATCGTTGATTTACACTAATTTATCATCCTCACTCAAGTCATGACAATTTAGCATACTATTCAAAAACAGTTTTACCTCAATCTTCATTCGCGCAAACCACTATTCTTCTCACGTACAGGTAGGGTGGGTGGGTTAAATATTCAACGGGGGGATTGGTAATCAACGTTACACCCAATTCTTTTACCAAGTACCCCCTCCCCCATCTAGTGCAACCCCTTCCGGCCGTTCCAGTGGGTGGAGGAAGGGGGCACTTTGCTTCTTTTTTTTGTTTTGCGTAACCGTCTATCAGCAATCTCGCATTTCATCGAACAAAACCCTGGTTTTAAGACAAATTCCAAAACCCGTTGAATCTTGTTCAATGCCCGTTTCAAAACCCTCGTTTTAAGACAAATTTCAAAACCCGTTGAATCTTTTTCAATACCCGTTTCAAAGCCCTCGTTTTAAGACAAATTTCAAAACCCGTTGAATCCTTTTCAATACCCGTTTCAAAACCCTCGTTTTAAGACAAACTTCAAAACCCGTTGAATCCTTTTCAATACCCGTTTCAAAACCCTCGTTTTAAGACAAATTTCAAAACCCGTTGAATCCTTTTCAATACCCGTTTCAAAACCCTCGTTTTAAGACAAATTTCAAAACCCGTTGAATCCTTTTCAATGCCCGTTTCAAAACCCTCGTTTTAAGACAAACTTCAAAACCCGTTGAATCCTTTTCCATCCCGTTTCAAAACCCTCGTTTTAAGACAAATTCCAAAACCCGTTGAAGCCTTTTCAATACCCGTTTCAAAACCCTCGTTTTAAGACAAATTTCAAAACCCGTTGAATCCTTTTCAATGCCCGTTTCAAAACCCTCGTTTTAAGACAAACTTCAAAACCCGTTGAATCCTTTTCAATACCCGTTTCAAAACCCTCGTTTTAAGACAAATTTCAAAACCCGTTGAATCCTTTTCAAAAACCCGTTTCAAAACCCTCGTTTTAAGACAAAATCCAAAACCCGTTGAATCCTTTTCAATACCCGTTTCAAAACCCTCGTTTTAAGACAAATTTTAAAACCCGTTGAATCCTTTTCAATGCCCGTTTCAAAACCCTCGTTTTAAGACAAACTTCAAAACTCGTTGAATCCTTTTCAATACCCGTTTCAAAACCCTCGTTTTAAGACAAATTCCAAAACCCGTTGAAGACTTTTCAATGACCGTTTCAAAATCCTCGTTTTAAGACAAATTTCAAAACCCGTTGAAACCTTCATTGAAAATGGTTGCTCATTCTTGGTTTGTAAAGATCGTCGTTGTTATCACGTCCAGAATTTTTGTATCTAAAGGCTCATGCGTCAAAAAAAAATTGCGTCAAAAACTTTCCCGTGCATCTAAAATTTTTACGTGAAAACACAATTAATGTTGCTCAAGAAAAAAACAAGAATTAATATATTTCTCAACAACAAAAAAAAATTTTAATGCAATTTTTCACCGTTTCGAGTCGCCTCTTTGCCAAAAATTAAGGTGTTTTGGATATGGTAAATGATTTTGAAAACTTTCTTTACTGCTCGAGTCACAATTAACGAATTATTATGGATTCATCACTGATCAAATGTGATGCTTAACTAGGGTACTAGAATTTATGTGAGAACACGCAATTTCAAGAGTACTCTACAATAAGAAATCGAAAAAAACTAAATGTACAAAATGCGTAACCTTTAACAGCTGTTAGTTTTTTCTAGCTGCGAGATTTTAGTTGTTCAACCTCGTTAAACAAAGTGATTTGCAGATAAAGATTTTCACACCAGATTTTAGAACAACATTTAATCGAAAATTACGATCAAGCTACTCATGTGTACAAAGTCTTGCTGTGAAGCTGCAAGTCCTAATTTAAAACAATAAAAATTCAACGCTTCAAGTTTTCAAGTTGTGTCTTTGAAGACTGTCAACCATTTGAACCAAAAAAAAACATCTCATTAATTCAAAAACCGAAGACATGTATTGCAATTCGACAATTACATATGACCAATATTACACTACAAGCAAGGTAAATTAACACTGGGTATTTTTCAGAGACGGATCTAAGATTTTCTAGAGGGTCAGATATTCAAAAAATAGGGCGGTTTTTTAACTTATCAAAAAATCAGCTTCTGAGCTCTCCCAAAACAGTAAAAAGTTCAATTTTTGTTATGTTTGAAAAAACTTCAGGCAAGTTTTTGAGAAAAAAGCCAGCATTTAAGGCATCTTTAGAAACGACTGGAATAAAATTTTTTGGAAGGTTTTTTTCGACACCCTCACCTCTCCGCAAAATTTTTACATGTTGTTGGTAGCGGGGCTTTCTTAGAAAACAAGAAAACGATGAGTCACTTTGAGTCAATGCATAAATTGACGGAATTATTTTACTTTGAGCCCATTTGATTTCAGCAAAGAGATGATTGTGTCTATTCAATCTCGAACTGATTCAAATGTATTCTTTTGATGCTTTGAAGACCAGTTCCCAAAGTATATGGGCATAACAATGGTCTGGTCAATTGTCTTGCAGAACTCTGTTTCCGTTAGCTATGTGATAAAACATCATTTGAAGTATCAGTTTCTTAACGATCAGTCGTGATCAAGGCTACTTATTAAAAAAAAATACTATTATCTTGGAAAAATTATTCAATTTTCTTGAATTGACCAGTTGAAAAAGTAAAGGTACGTTTTTTCATCAATAATTAAAACTAGCTATTAGCCACTGATAGGACGTGTAACAATTTTTGTATACAATTTTTGGATCCACATTATAGTTCGGTTCAAGATCTTTTCAAGCTAAAATTTTTTGCTAAAAACAAATAAGCACAGTGAAATGACCTTCCACTCAGTTTGTTTTGGCCTGATTAGTTTTAGTATTTGAATGAAAGATGCCTGATTTGGTATGTTTGTATTTGTTTTCAATATATGTTTCTTTTGTTTGGAGATAACATTTATAAATTTGGAATGAAGGAAAAAAATCCATTTTTTTACTTCCCATAAAC